GAGCTGGACCTGCGCTACGACGTCCGCGACTACGGCGACGACGCGGGCGACGACGACGACGACGGCGGCGACGACGACGCGGGCTTCGCGCGGGGCCACGCGCTCGTGGCGCGGAACCCCCTTGACCACGAGCTCCTCGTGAACCTGGCCGCGTTCCTCGAGGTCTTCGTGGGAAAGAGCGACGCGAAGCGCTTCGCGCGCTGGGGCCGCGGCGTCGTCGGCGCGGCCTTTCGGCTGTCGCGCGACTACGAGCACGTGTCGGCGCTCTACGCGTTGGGCAACCTGGGCTGCCGGACGGCCGCCGCCGCGGGCGCGCTGGACCGCGACGACGCGCTGCTGCGGCTCTGCCGGTCGTTCGCGCGCGACGTCGCGCGGCGGCTGCCGGGCTTCCGCGACGAGCTGCTGGCGACGGCCTGCGCCGTCGCCCTCGACGCGCCGCCCTGCGTGCGGCGGCTCCAGCTCGGCGCGCTCGCGCCCGCGGCGGCGCACGCGCTCCGGCTCGGCCGCACGCACGCGCCGACGGCGCGCCGCGCGCTCGCGGCGCTCGCGGCGTGGCGCGCGGACGGCGCCGACGCCTTCCGCGACAGCGGCGCGCTGGCGGCGGTGCTGCCGGAGCTGGGCCACTACGCGCTGGCCGCGCGGTCGAGCGACGACGCGTTGGTGGTGGCGGACGCGCACCAGTCTTTGAAGGCGCGCGCGCGCGCGCGGCGCCTCGCCGAGGCCGCGAGCCGCCGCGACGCCCACGTCGGCGAGCGCGCCGCGCGCGAGCTCGCCGCCGCGGCGCTCAGGTTCGTCGCGTCGCTCGGCGGCGACGCGGAGGCGCTCGCGGGCGACGCGAGCGCGGCCGTCGCGGCCGCGGGCGACCGCGAGCCAAAGGCGGGCGCGCTGACCTTGGACCTCCCGGCGCTCTGCGTCGACGACGGGCCCCGGGAGTCGTGCGCCCTCGAGCTGCGCCTCGATTCGGAAATTTTGCCGCGCCTCGGCGTCCTCGCGGAAAGCGGCGGCTCCCGGCAGACGCGCGTGCTCGCGGCGGAGGCGCTCCACGGCGTCGTGCTCGCGGCGCTGGGCCGCACGGTGACGTCGGCGCGGTCCGACGACGGCCTCGACGCGACGGTCTACGCGACGGCCTGGCCATTCGTCGTCAAGCTCGCCGCGCACGACGACGCCGTCACGCGCGCGCTCTTCCGCGAGCTCGTCTTCCAGTGCTGCCGCAAGCTCTCCGAGTACGGCGGCGTCGACGCGCGCCGGGGCACGGTGCCCGAGACGACGCGCGTCGCCGAGCGCTTCGTGCAGACGCTCTTCAAGGCGCTCCACGGCGAGCCGCTCGCGGGCGGCGGCGGCGACGCGGGAAACCTCCGCGCGACGGCGGCCGCCGCGCTCGCGGAGTACGTCAAGTACGCCATCAAGCACCGGAACGAACGCGAGCTCGCGGATATCGCGTCGCGGAAGCGGGCGCGCGCCGACGGCGGCTTCGACGCCGTCGGGTTCATCTTCACCAAGGTCGCGTTCGACGTCGGGCAGCGCGACTCGGCCAAACGGCGCCTCGGCGCGGCCTGCGCGCTCTGCAAGCTCATCCGCCACGTGCGGTCCCACGACCCGCTGCTGAGCCGCTTCGGGCTGGCGCTCCTCAAGGGCGCGCTCCTCGCGGTGCGCGGCGCGGACGGCGACGACGACGGCCTGCACAAGGCCGCGGCCGCGGCCGCGAGCGCCGCGGCGGAGCGCCTCGCGCTGCGCATCGCGGACCACGTGTCGCGCAAGAAGGACGCGGCGGGGCTGCTCGCGCCGCCGCCGGACGACGTCCTGCGGGCGGCGCCGGAGTCCCTGGGAGAGCTCGCGGACTGGGTCTTTGCGGAGGGCGCCGCGCACGGCGACTCGACGTTCCGCCGGCGCTGCTGGCGCACGCTCGCGTCCATCGCGCCCCTCGTCGCCGGCGCCGACGAAAACCGCTTCGCCGGCGCGACCCTGCGCGCCTTCGTCGACGAGCGGCTCGACGCTTTGGGGGCTTCCGCGCTCTTTCGCGGCGACGCCGTCGCGACGCTGCACGCGCTGCGCGCGTTCCTGGACCAGGGCCTGCTGGACGCGGCGCGCATTTTGGACTGGGCCGACGAGGGCCGCTGCGACGCCTTCGCCCTCGCCGCCGCGGCCTTCGACGACGCGCGCGCGCGGTACGCCGGCGACCGCATGGACGACGACGACGACGACGACGAGCGCGCGGCCGAGCGCGCGAAGCGGCGCCGCTGCGAGGGCCTGCGCATGGGCGCGTCGTTGATGGCGGCCCTGCTCCGGGCGGCGCCGGCGCGAGCGAAGGCCGGGGTCGAGGGAGCGGGGCTCTGGACGGAGCCGGCGCTGCGCGGCCTCGTCGCGGCCGTCCTGGCGCCGGACGCGCGCGGCTGCCTCCTCGCGGCGGACGTCGACGAGGCCGTCGCGTCGAAGCTGCCCAAGGCCGTCGCCGACTTCCTCGAGGCCGGGGCGGACGCCTTCGGCGCCGCCGCGAGCCGGGCCGCCGTCGACGCGGAGCTCGCTCGCCGCGCGCCGCTCTGGCGGCCGCTGCCGAACTCGCAGAGCTCCGACGGCGAGACGCGCGAGAGCAGCGGCGGCACGGACGACGCGCGCCTGTCGTCGCCGGGCGACGTCGCCCGCAAGGCCCGCGGCGGCGCCCTGCGGCTCTACGGGGCGCTCCGCGACCGGCGCGCGCTGGCGCCATCTC